CTACTCGGCTGGTTTATTACGCATACAGCTCACTAGGTTCGCAATATCAAAACCCTGGAGAGAGCATTGGCCAGTTAATTGTAAACGGGTATCAATTTATTACAATTGGGATTTTAGTTGAGGAAAGGAGAAGGAGATTGATAGGACAAGACGGATCGAGATTGTAACGATCTATCGAAGACTTGCGAGACGAATTGATCTTGAGGAGCGGAAAGTTAACACAAGCGGAAACATAAAGTTGAAAGCTTGAAGTGAGGAATTGAGGAATATGATGTTTTGATTACGAGGACGAATACTCTTCTTCGGTCTACTCGAAACATTGAAGGCGAGAAGGACAAGCAGAAGTAATTAACTGTGGCATAAGCGGAACTAAACAATCCAGAGACGAAGATATAATATCGAGATACATACACACCTACCTATCTTTCGTCCACCGGCTGTTGGCATTCAACAGATCTCGAGGAGGAATTTAGGGAGGTGATTTGTTGCCTTTCTCTTAGCTTTCAGCCATTAGGCCAAGAAAATCTGTGAGAGGGACTCGAGACAAAGTGCGGCTCCGGATTGGAACGACGTATCGAAAGTCGGTTCTTTATAGCTTGGGAGAGAAACTGGGAGAGGGACAAGCGCACTGGATGGAGAATACTGAGAGGAAGGAGGGGAAGGAGGGGTCGTTGGCGGGGGAAAGGAAGGGGTTTGTGCCATTGGTTACGGTGGTGGACTTTCATCATGCGAGGTAAGCATTTCTGGGGAAGAGGTAGTGGGGGGATTGAGAACGGATGTGATGGACATGAGGGTAGATGAGGCAGGGAAAGCTGGCTGACATGAGTTTTGCTTAGAGGACCGGAAGTCGAATACTGGTTTGGGGCAGAAGAGGGGACCGATCCTGCGGTGGACAATGAATGGCCTTTATTACCATTCATGGCTCTGAGTGATGGTGCGCATGCGTAAGTTGCTTTCCTCGCATTCTGCCAATTCAAACAAAAAGATTTGAGACTGACGGGCAATTGAAATGGCAGATCAACAGAAGATTTCTCCTATTTTACACTTCTACGACCCGCGCGCGGAAATCTACCTCCAACATCCCTCTTCGGTATCTCCTGCACACAACAAATGGACGCCTCGATATTGATTAATCGCCCCGCGGAAGTCACACGATCGACGGTGCAAAAGGCAGTGGTTGTGATAGCAGATTCTCCACAATTCTTTGGAATGTTGAGGGAGAGATTGGGAGTTGTTACGAAAGCATGGTTTGCACAACGAGAGTTCACAGATACAGAGATATTGAAGAGGTTTCAGGAAAGTCTGGCGGAGGAAAAAAGTCGAGGAGAATTGGGGGACAGGGAAGAGTATCTAGGAATGAGTTTGAGGGAATTGGTCAAGGAGTTTAAATGGCAGACTTTGGTGCTTTTTAAGTGTTGTTTGTTACAACCAAAGGTAAATACCCCCTTCCTGACAAACTATGGTGGATTTTAACTCAGGAGTAGATGTTATTTTTCGGTTCGAGGTGCGAGAGATTGTGCATGATGCAGTTTTCACTTATATCTCTCATACCGGGTCTGATACGGAATTTACAAGATTGTGCGGATCCGGAATTGGATGACTATAGGAAAAACCTTGTGAAACCGACGAGTTTGAAAACTAGCGATAGGAGTTCATTGTTGAATTACATGGGATTGCCTTTGCAAATATTTGGCAAGGTAAACATCAATTTTCAAAAGTATGTGAAGAATTTTACTAACTGTACATTTAGGGAAGTCTTTTTGGCCCTTATACTCCTTTACAGCAACTTGATATATTAGCGGACTACGGCACAAAATCGTATATTGTTGGATCAACGAATTCTTTACTTTTGCAACAGAGAGATCGATACAGCGACATTCTTATTAATCTAGACGACCTTACCATTAATATCACATCCGCATCACTGAGGTCTGCACTAACACTTTCCGCGGCCGATCGACGATGGATCGATTTCATTACTCAAACTGTCAACGATACTTGGGATGAATCTAATCCAAGCCGACCTAAAACTATGGGCTACGTTGGTTCTGAAGAGTTCATCCGATTGCAGTTTGAGGAATATATCCTCTCTTTAATCTCTTCTGTCAAATGCCATAACTACCTTGTAGTCAATGCACACAACCCCAGGGCGCAACTTCCACAGGTTGAAGGCGATCCGGCTCATGATTTTAGCATGGATTGGATCGATGCGTGGACGAGGAGTGAAAACTACGAAATCTGGAATAATCACACAGATTCGCATCTTTTTGATATCGTAGAACCTAAACATCCTTGTGCAGGTGGTCTTACGATTGATGATGTCCAAAGACGTATCGCTGAACAGGTTAAAGAAATGCATCTCGATGAAAGGTTTGCGGTAGGCAAGGAAGTTCTAGGCAGAAATCTTGCAGCGGGGAAGGAAAGAGCTAGTACTGTTTTCAATAAACTGTATTCAGATATGGAAGCCTATCGGGAAAGCCAGAGAAAGAGAAACGAGGAAGCTAGAATTGCGGCTGAGAAAGCGGCAACTGCAAGTGGGGCTTCGAGTCCAGTCAGCGTAACGGGATTTAATGAACCAAAGACCCCTTCGGTGCAGAGTAGAGCGGGTGCATATATTGGGAGCTGGGGTACGTGGATGGGAGAGAAAAGGAAAGCGGGATGGGGAAGAAGCTCGGGGAGTCAGGAAAAGGTCCAGCAGGTTATGAACAATGGGAAGAGAAACTCCAAGGGCTTGTTTGGGAAGGAAAATATACTTGTTGTGGACGGGAAAAATGGGTTGGAGAGGAGTCCACTGAGTCCGAGAAATTCCCAGGGGGGGTATTCGCCAGTGGGGGAAAGGCCGAAGACGGCGGAGAGTTTTAAAGAGAGTATCTTTGATGCGGAGGCGGAGGAGAATGGAGACGGAAAGGCGGTGGTGGTAGAGAAGATTAGTGATGCGCCTGTGAGAGTCGATAGTCCGGGGCATTTGTCGGGGTTGCATGAGGGGGCGAGGGACGATGATGATAGTGATGGTAGTGATGAAGAGGAGAAGAAGACGGCCAAACGAACACCCGTGTCTGTCGAACCAAATGTGTGGAACGACAAAGGAAATCGAGAATCAGATGAGGCTAAACATGAGAGGGCAGAGAGAGTAGCACAGGCCATGCAGGAGGCGGTTGATTCTTCTATTCATTCGTAGGAATTTTATGGCTGATAGAACGGGTGGTGGTGTATTTTGGACTTTCTTTTTTTTTTTGTTCCTTCTTCTTTTGGATTGGATTGATTGACGACTTAGCGAAGTTTTTGTGCTGAGATACAAGATATAAAGAGGGGAGATCACGGGTGGAATGAGTGCTTTGGGTCGGAGTGAGATGGGTGAAATGAATTGGAATTGGAATTGGATTGGGTAGGGAAAATTCAGGAATCGCAGGATCATACATACCACTTACCGTATTACCGCATATACAATACACGTATACATACATACAATGGAATATATTTAATATTATTAGATTGCTTCCCTTTCTTTTGGTGGAAAGTACATCGTTAAATAGAAACGGCACGGTAACCTAAATCCATCTCATCCAACTCCCGATCTCAACTTTCCTCTAAAACAGGCCCCTGATCTCCATACGAGGGATCTCGATCAAACCATTCCAAATCAGCAATTCCCCGAACTTTCTCCTCTTCTTCAGAACTTCCATCCCCGTAACACATATCCCATGTTTTACCTTTGGGATAAGAACCGATCATCTGGAAATCACCGGTGAGGTCTTCGAGGAGGTGGTGGGATATACCGGCGGGGATTATTATGACGTCGCCGGAGTTTACTGTGGTTTGGATTTTGGAGGAGGGGCTGTGGGTTGGGGTGCTGAAACCTTGGTAGGGAGGGAGGTTAGTGGATAGATGGGGAGAGGAGAGGAGGAGAGGAGGAGAGAAGGGCAATGGATACATAATCTTGCACTTCCGGAAAATATGCAGAGGACCTCGTGGGTGCTGCTGTGGAAATGTGGGTGTGTGTACATGGTGTAGCGCCAGTGGGGAGTGACGATGTTGAGGGATTTGAGGTGGGATTCGATGAGGGAGGGGGGAGTGGAGGGGGGGATGCAGGAATGGTAGATTAGGAGGGGGTGGGAGAGGTGAGGGTGCGGATGGGGATGGAGGGGGATGTGATGCCGGGTTGTGGTTAGATTTGCGAGAGGAGTGAGCTCGAGGGGGAGGTGCATTTTTTTTTTTTTTTTTTTTGAGATTTGAAAAGGGGTAGGTTGTGAGAGAGGGGTGAGCAGGGATGAATATGTTAGGTGGTGGATGAAGATCTTGATGTGTTAGATTCAGTACCCTGGCAGATAGAGGAATTGGTGATAGAATGAGACAGATGAAGTGTGACAAAAACCAAGCGAACAATTGACTTTGGTTGAGGACTAGTGTCTAGGTAATAGCAATCATGTCACTTTCGTTAAAGAAATTACAAATCAGTACGAATACTTTGGATGTTTTATCTATATTGAACCGAAATAGTATCTGAAGTAGAATTGAGATGTTAGAATATACGTACTCGGCGAAAGAAAAGATTGACTGATGTAGAAGGGATGTGAGGATTTATCTGGTAGTTCATCTGAATGCCTACCTACTCGGGCTCGAGTGGGCTTTGGAATGAGGGGTAAAAGGAGGGGTCTGCTAATTTTGATAGGGTATGTCATATTGTACTAGAACCTTGAACTTTCAGGATGTTCAGTAAAAATACAGTATGTGTTTATGAAGAACTTGCTTCCTTTGAAGTTTCTAGGAATAATATATGCTATGTAATGCTGTGAATATATTTATGAAGTTGCTTGCTGTGTATTGATTGCATTATGTTGAATTGACTACAGCTTGCTTAGTCAACATTCTTATCGGTTATCAAGACCTTTGAAGTCTCGGACTTCGGGAGCTTTATCAATACAGAGCACAATTTGGCGCTTCGAATCTCAAACTCCTGGCTGTTTTTGACGCCTGCCGTAACTCCATAGCCCTGTGTTTGGCGGTAAAATTCTTACAGCCTCAGGCACGCATGCATACTGCTTATAGAAAGTGCACGGCAGCCTGCTATCATACAACTGAATCACGAATTCATCCTTACTCAAGACTTCAAGGAAAAAGGGAAAAGGGAAACTTCGTACACATTCACCCTTTTGACATTTACTCATATATTCTATTGGGGAGATTTAAGAAATCTGACCGTGAATTATTGTACGGATTCAACTTTCTAGCGTGTTCTTTCCCTCTAGTTCACATTGTGGGCAGTATACCCTTTAATAAATATCCTCTACATCATCTTTCCAACACAACCACTTCGATTTACAACACTCTCACCACAATCACAACCTCAACCTCAACTTTCACTTCCACCTTGACAACTTCCAGGATCTGGAGAACCTTTTGCATCGTATTCTGTGATTTATCACAAAGGTGCTCATTTGATCATCTCCATTTTCATAATCTTACTTACAGTCCCGAACCTACATTCCTTCCAGCTGCTGGCTTAAATCCATCAGTTCCTTATACCAGTTTGAATCCATCTCAACACATACGATCTTTTCTCTTTACCACTTCCATTGAACTTTGCTCAAGATGACGGTCGCTACCAGGACGGTGGTCGTTATGCCTCCTGTCCCCAATCGGGAGGACTTAGATGCGACGTTCGTACTGGATCTTTTCTCTCTGCCACCTCCCCCCTCGACCTTACTTGATTCAATATGCTAATTACAAATTTTTGCGATTTAGATGGAAATACCTCGAGGCTGGAGTATCAAAAGTCATGTTACAATTGGCAGATGGTGTCGATATGAATACTGTAGGTGCCACTCATCCAACTCTCTTCAGCTCTTACGCGCAATTACTGACTTGCTTTCTATCTATAGTATATGGGAGTATACACGTACGTATTCCAAACACACACTCTGGCAGCATCATCTAACCTGAAATAGAGCTGTGCATAATTTCTGTACATCACAAAAGGCAGTCAGCAACCATGGCCCAGGAGTAATCGGAGGTGCGCATCGCGGAGGTGGGACCTTTTACCAATCCAAATTTAAAACATTGATACTGATTCTATATTTACAGCACACCTTCTCGGTGAAGATCTATACAAAAACCTCATCAAATACCTAACACAGTATCTCAAGGAACTCGTTCTCGCCTCTAAGACACATAGCGACGAAGCTCTCCTTAGTTTCTATATTCGGGAATGGGATAGATACACGACAGCAGCAAAATATGTCAACCACTTGTTCCGATACCTTAATCGTCATTGGGTAAAGCGAGAAATGGACGAGGGAAAAAAGAACATTTACGATGTTTACACTCTACACCTTGTTCAATGGAGAGAAACCCTGTTCACAGCTGTCCACTCAAAGGTTATGGATGCTGTTCTCAAGATGGTTGAGAGGCAAAGAAATGGAGAGACTATCGAGCATAACCAGATCAAGGCCATTGTTGATTCTTTCGTATCACTTGGGTTGGATGAATCGGATCCTACTAAATCGACCCTCGATGTTTACCGTTTCCACTTTGAGAAGCCATTTTTAGAAGCCACCGAAGCTTTCTACCGAACGGAATCAAAAGAATTTGTCGCGGAAAATAGCATAGTAGAATACATGAAGAAGGCCGAAATTCGATTGGCAGAAGAGGAAGAGCGAGTTAGAATGTATCTACACCAGGACATCATCATTCCATTGAAGAAAGCCTGCAACACTGCTCTTATTGCAGACCACTCCGTACTTCTTCGAGACGAGTTTCAGGTTCTTTTGGATAATGATCGATATGACGATATGGCACGCATGTACAACTTGCTGGCAAGAATTCCAGATGGTCTTGAACCACTCCGTACCAGATTCGAGGCTCATGTTCGCAACGCCGGTCTTGCATCGGCAGCAAAAGTCGCTAGTGAGGGTGATAAGCTTGAACCTAAGGTTTATGTGGATGCTCTTCTCGAGATTCACACACAATATTCAGGTCTTGTAAAACAAGCATTCAAGGATGAGCCTGAGTTTACTAGGTCTCTTGATAACGCATGCAAGGAGTTTGTGAACCGCAATAAAATCTGCAAATCTGGGTCCAACAAATCCCCTGAATTGCTCGCCAAATATGCCGATTCGTTATTGAAGAAGAGTGCCAGTGGAGCTGAGGAGAGTGATATCGAGAACTCTCTTACTCAAATTATGACAGTCTTCAAGTATATTGAAGACAAGGATGTGTTCCAGAAGTTCTACTCGCGTATGCTTGCTCGTAGATTGGTCCACACCAGTTCTTCGTCAGATGATGCTGAGACAAGCATGATCAGCAAGTTGAAGGAAGCATGTGGATTCGAATATACCAACAAGCTTCAACGTATGTTCCAGGATATTCAAATCTCGAAGGATTTGAATAGCGGCTTCAAGGAATTTGAGGGAGGAATCTTTACTGGAGGCGAAGAAAAGCCAATCGATGCTAGTTACTCAATTCTGGGTACGGGTATGTGGCCTTTGAATCCACCAAATACAGATTTCACACCACCAGTGGAAATTTCCAAGGCCTATGAGCGATTCCAAAATTTCTACAACCAGAAGCACAGTGGTAGAAAACTCACGTGGCTTTGGCAATTGTGCAAGGGCGAGATCAAGGCCAACTATTGTAAAAACCAAAAGACTCCATATACTTTCCAGGTTTCGACTTATCAAATGGCTATCCTTTTGTTGTTTAACGAGAGTGATAAGAATAGCTATGAAGATATCGCCAAGGCAACTCAATTACAGGCTGATATCCTTGATCCCACCCTTGCTATTTTCTTGAAATCCAAGGTCCTCACTATGAGTCCAGCAGATGATAAGCCAGGACCTGGCAAAACCTTTAACTTGAACTATGATTTCAAGAGCAAGAAGATTCGTGTCAATCTTAATATCGCTATCAAGTCGGAGCAAAAGCAAGAGGTTGATGAGACTCACAAGACTATTGAGGAAGACAGAAAGCTGCTCATGCAGGTATGTAGAAATCGCTTGTGTAGTATAGATGAAATCCCACTAACTTATCTTTTAGTCTGCCATTGTTCGTATCATGAAGGCACGAAAGAAGATGAAGCACAGCGTTCTTGTTGCCGAAACCATCAGTCAAATTCGCACCCGATTCTCACCAAAGGTTCCAGATATCAAGAAGTGTATTGATATCTTACTGGAGAAAGAATATCTAGAGCGACTCGACGATGATGAGCTTGGATATCTTGCATGATCCATAAACCTTTTATTTAACAGAGTCTCTTGCATTAGGGATTCATGATGGATGACCTTTTATGAATTGGCGGCTTACTGAAGTTGATTGTAAAAGTTACCAGCCCACACTTAAGATTTGGGGAGAGAAACTGGTAGTAATTACCTGCTGGCCACCCTTTGATCATAGTCAATGGATGAAGGGGCAATAATTAGGCGTATTGATGCATATTTTTTATCGTTTTCATTCGTTGTGTTACTGGTGCCACTCTTGACCAATTCTTTGGGACATATCTGGGAGGGAGGAGTTGCGAGAAAGCTATTGGTTGTTTGTTGTGGAAACACAGTTTTGTGTTTTACGATCAAGGTTTCTTTTTTTTTGTCTTTTTCTTTTTTTTTGATACCGCGGATACCTAACTCATAACTTCGCACATCACTTCCAGAAGATTTAGTTCTCTAAACGAGAAGGAGATACTTATACGGGATGAGCCGGTGATGGGACATGGGAGGGAGTGGAGATGGGAAAGAAGGTAAGGGGAAATAAAGGGCAGAATGTAACATATCGCAATTGGTCATTGGGAGCATTTGATGACTAAAATAAATGAATGGCTTGAGGATTGGATGTGATGTGATGGTGAATGGGCGGGCGGGCTTGTTCATAATTGGGATGGAAAGTCAAGTGCGGCTAAGTAAGGGAGCATAAATGGGAAGAATTGAGCGGGCATAGAAGTGTGCATGAATGAATGATACGGGTGTTCAAAGTAAATGAAAACATCAGTCAGCGAGTTACAGCGAAAATCAGTTAATGTTACCTCCCTATATATGCTATTTGGGTATTTAATAAGTAGGGTTGTGAGTGGAATGTGAATGAATGTGAATAAATGTATTGATGAATGATATAGGTACTTGAGTCTTTGTGATTTGGGTGGTGGGGAGTGGGAAATGGAGGTGTCAGGGTGAGGTTGGGAGGGTTTGATGGGGAATTGTGTAGGGATCTGTGAATTTTGTTTTGGTTGTTGTTTGGATTGATGCGTGGGTGGATGGATGGGTGGATGGGTGGCATGTGGGGAGGGGAGGGGGGTGAGGGGATGTGCTAATTTGGGGAGTTGTAGTGTTGATTGTTTGTGTGAAGGCTTTTTTGAGAGGGGGGAGGTGGGTGGGTGAGGTATTTGTTGGGTTGTTGGGTGGCGGGGAAAGAAGATGAGAAGTGGGAGGAGGAAGATGGAGGGAGATGGAGGGAGATGGGAGATGGGAGATGGGAGATGGGAGATGGGGGTGAGGGGGAGGGTAAGTGATGAATTCGAAACCAAGTTGCAGGAGAAATTTGAAAGTTCGTATAATGTTCCTTTAGATGGACTTGTGAGTTTATACGTTTATAAAGGAGAAGCAATAGCAATGACAATAGCAACAACAAAAAGCTGAAAAGGAAGGGAGAGGGAGAGGGAAGAGATAGTACCGTATAGTATAGTATCGAAAAATATTCATCTACAACCAAGATTTAATAAATATCTACCTAGCAGATGAGTATACTAAATTGGATTTATATCGAAAGAAGATGTTTGATTCTGGAATTATCTCGGTACCTAGGTTTCTAAGTTTCTCAGTTGTATGTGTGGAGTTTTCTTTATGTGAAATTTGGATGATTATATATATGTATGTATGTTTATATAACCATATGTTTATTATGTATGTTTATATGTATT